AGGAAACTAAGGAATTATCTACATCTAGTCTTAGAGAGAAAAGTGAGCTGAACAAAATGTGATATTTTTCGTTTTCGCAGAATATCGTGGTCGTCAAGTACAACAAAATTTTTACGAGCCCCAATCTAAAGTCTGCCAATACGGGGCTCGTAAAACTCTTATTATATTTGAGAATCACGACACTCTGCGGAAACAGAAAATATCACATTTTGTTCAGCTCACTTTTCTCTATAAGACTAGATGTAAACAGTTCCTTAGTTTCCTCTTGTTCGAACGCCAAGAGACTCGCAAAACAACAAAAATCGTGACGGAATCACGAAAAGGCGACCGTTACGTGAACAGGCCGAAATATTAAATAATATATAACTAAAATTGTAGTAAGTACACAGCAGTTTCAGTGTGTGAAAGGAGCAAAAAATAAGCTCTCTTATTTTGGCTACATTTGTTACAAAGTTGAGCCGTTTTTCTCTTAACAGTTTTGTAAGTGAAAAAGTGGGTTACCTTTTTCAGAAAATGCACAAAATTTAAGAGATTCATCTATATAGGTTCAATTAGCATGTGGACCATGTTAAAAGATTACAAAATAAATGCACTACAGTGAGAAATGCACCAAATGGTTGATTATCGTCTCTACGAGTTTCCTCAGTGTAATATCGTTAGCTCTCGGTTCTAGCAACGAACTGTTCATAGCGTTAGTATTTCTCGGATACATATCCTCTGTAAGTACAAGCGTGATGTTTCATCACATACAGCAAACGTTTCCTTAAGGTAAAACCCATAGACGAGCAATACGATATCAGTCTATCTCACATATATTTTGAGATCTAATTCCAGTCTCATGATAAACTAGGATTGACAAATATAGGTGAGTACCATTAGATCAACAGTTGATGATAATCTTGAAACATTTACTTTCGAATTTGATTTTCCAAAATACCTTCTGACTTAGCCATACTTCAAAAAAAACTTTTAGTTCAACTTTGTAACGAGAGAATAGGCGAAAGGACTTCTTCACTTTCCACCAGATATACTGTTCTGAAATAACTGTGTACTTGTTACGTGCATCATGTTTCGAAGAGTAAGCCGGTAAAACATGGTGCACTTAAGTGTTCAACTGGATGCTGACAAAGTATCCTTCCTCCCTGAAATCCAAACCTCTGATATTACTCTTTTTCTGATGCTTATCTTTGTTTTGTGATTTACTGTGATTTATCGTAAATAATGTTGAATGAACATGTAGCAAAGAAGAAAAACTGGTATACTCGAGGCAACTTTATCGCAAGGCCGGATGATACTCCAGGCAAGAAAACAACACTGTATACATTGAGGTCTGAAATGATCTGAAGAAGCCATTTTTGATCGGATAAATCTAAGATGTCTTTGGAGAGATTCAAATCTTGAAAGCAGAGATGAGATGGTCACACTCCTCTTAAAACACTGTAGGCAATTTCTGTTTCTGGAAAACTGTCAAACGAGCAAAAAATAGGATGAAACTAGGACCAGAAAAAATCTGGGGCGACTATGCACGATTCTTCCAGAAACTTATCGCGATTATGCACGATTCTTGTAAAGCTGATCTGCATAATGCGATTTGTGACGCGACTGTTGCTAGCTCATGTCGTGATTTTAAAAACAAGGGAAGACTCGCGTCGCGAGAACGTAATTTTCTTATATAACTAGCAAGATCTTGTCGCGAGAATCACCACTATAGAAGACTTTATAGCGATCGCGTAGCGCGTTCGCGTCGCAATTTTTTAGCGCGAGCCGTGCCGCGACTTTCGCATGAAAATCGACCTGGGGCGACTTTCACCGCGATACTAACATTATTCCGTTAACTTGGCTTTTATAGTATGCCGAGTTACTCTTATATAGAAAAAGTTTTCATTGCTGTGAGACAAGAAATGGTTGCGCTATAAAATATTTAAACTTTCTTCCTTGATGGGAAATAGTTGCTGGATATTTGAATATTTTACAGCGCAGTCAGATCTTATTCAATACCGGTGAAGTTTCTTTTACATAGTTAACTCGGCATACTTGAAGCTGAATGTTATTGTAAATGTTTTATGGCGTAAAACACCTTTTCTTCACATATTTTTACTGAAGGACCGGGTTGCTCTGAAAAAACGAGTCATCAAACGGCCATCAGCTAGCAGTTCTCATTATTATAGTTTGAATTAGCATTATCGACTACATATGTCCCAGAGCTGATCACCTGCATAATTTTTTGCCTGCGCGGTACCACGCAGGGGCAAAATAAAATTTACACGCGCTGCAGTTTGCAGATTAGCAGAAAAATATTTTGTTCTGCACAGGCAGACGTTAAGGGTGAAAACTTCTGCACTGCTCTAACCTGTAGGCAGAGATGTGCGCCGCCGTGCCGATTCGCCGCCGCTGAAGGCAGACAAAAATTGTTACAACTATTTTTATTAGTACGTTCTTACCTTAGGTATTTAGCGTGTAGCGCGTTTCTATCTTTTCGTATACAGCAACGTACAGATACAGTTGGTGCGCGAAGAACGTGCCAGATATCTCGTCGCCGTACTTATTACTCGTCGCCGATAATCAGTTTTCACACGCCGCCGCCGAAGACGGAGGGAATTTTCACACCGTCTGTAGTACACACCGATAATTATAGACTGTATCACCAGTTATGATTCACGATCCTTGTTCTATATTTTTCTCAATAATCGTCATACAGAATATCAGTCATACACATCAATTCCATTTTAGATGAGCATTAATTTGGTATATAATACATTTTTATATCATTTGTAGTTTCAGCTCTACCCCCCTGGAAAAATATTATTTCCAACTGTGTATGTAAAAACCAGATAAAAAAAGTGTATTTTCATCGTTCCGTGTGGAGAATATGAACACTATTGTTTTTGAACGCTCTTTCGTTCATTAAAATTAAAAAAAAGTTAAATTAGAACCTTAACTGACAATCAGCTCACCAACAAGTTCAGCTTTTCATAAACCTCGTACAATTCTCTTCATGTCACATCAAACGTTTTTTAAAAACAGCCCATCTAAGGTCAGCTGCCTTACTCAGAATCGAAACAACAGCCAAAGTGACTATCTTAGAACATGAGATTTATCGACTATATTTGTTCCCATAGTTCTTAAAATTGGAGGTAAAAATATAACAGTTGCTTAATAGCTTGAAACTAAATCAATCAAATTTCTCAAAAAGAAATACCATTCTCATTAATGATCTTAAAAAGATGCTAACGAATTCCTATGCAAGCTGGAGTAAAAAATGCTCGACACGTATAAGTATAGAGGAAACACTGTTATTCTTTACACTATCATTAATCACTATCATTCTTCAAGTTCTGTAAAATGAGTCGTACGTCCAGCGCCATGATGAGATGTTTGTGAGGAATGATGTGAATGTAATGTTAATTTTGGAATATTGTATTTCTTTGCAGTATCACGAATATCACTGCCTTCAGCAATTTCTTTGAGTGCAAGTTGAAAGTCTTCATTTGAATAACGAGGCACTTGGCCTTTTTTAACGTATGTTCGAGGCATTAAGATGTGTAATAACGAGTGTAAGATTAATGATAGTGTAAAGAAT